TTTTAGCATCAAACAAGGTCTAAAACCAAAGATCAAAAGTTGACAGTATTTTATGTCTCCCAAGCCAAGTCCTTATCGATCATATACTGGCACCATATTCTTTTCATTCTCTTTTTTGGACTTCTTGCCATTTTATGTGACAATGCTGCATCAATGGTGTCCTCAATCTTCTATAAATACAAACAACCTTGTCCGAATATGAGAGGTGAAAATGCTCTTGTTGCAAGACATCGACAACTTGTTTTCAATAATAAATTGATTTAATTTAACTTAATTAATTTAAAAAAATATCACGGATTATTAAATAAACTATGTTTTTTATTCACGTTGTAGCTTTATATTATATAAATTTTTAGATTAAGAGTGTGTATATATAGGTGTTTGAGTCGTATATCAATTAACCTTATAAATTTTTTTAAAAATAATTATATAATTAATGAGTTTTAAAAAATAAATTTAGAGCCGAACTGAGACCACATCCTTGAAAGTTTATTTTATATATTTAAATACATAGTCTAGCAGATCTACTACTAAATTAACATGATGTGCCACTTCCTGTTTGGACCTACTTCGCTTTCTCTTTCTGTGATTCCACTCAGACAGTAGGTGGCGTGGGTTCAATGACAAAACAGTGAAAAAGTGTTATTTTATTCCAAGTACTGTTTGGTTCCAAAAACCTGCTTTATCATCATTATAACGAGGAAAAGGGGCTCTGACACCTCTTATTATATATTATGTCCTTAATCACCAGTGAGATTCATGGGCACATGGAGCAGGTATTTATCTTTCCTAGCACCCTTGTTTTAAAGTTTTTTATAAAATTCCGTTGGTTAAAACAATATCCGGGAAATATCATAGTTTTAATAAAAAAAAAAAAACACAAAAAACAACATACATTTGTAATAATGATTTAAAAAAAGGGTACAATTATCACCAAAAAAAATAAAATAACAATAGTAAAATATTTGCAAACGTGATTAAAAATTATATTTTTAAAATTTTTTGATTTTTTATTTGAAATAAAATTTTTTTATGTGTTTCAAATCTTTTCATGTGCTGATATCAAAAATATTTTTTTTAAAATAAATTTTTTTATTTTAATACATTTATAAATAAAAAACACTTTGCACTACCACCACCATCACAATTCCAAACAAACTCTAAATATAATATTCTACCCCTAAACCATAACCCTAAATCTAAAAAAAAATATTCTTAAACTCTAAACTAATTATTATCCCCTTCTTTTATTTTCTGAGTTTTTCTTTTTAATTTTTTTTTATTTTTTTTTAATTTTTATTATTTATTATTAGATTCATGGTAAATACTAAACAAAACCAAAACATTAAAAACAAAACCTATAAAAAATAAAATATTTTATTATCTCTAGTCGGGGTTTATTTGTAGCGTTATTAATTAGTATTTGTTTTAAGGGTTAGTGATTAATGTTAGTATTTGGAATTTATTTTTGATATTAATATTATAATTTGAGGTTAGGGTATTGTTTACGGTTTGTATTTAAGGTTAGAGTTAGAATTAATTTAGAATTTGACCTTTTTAATCTTATAATTTTTTAATTAAAATCACTATTATCAATCTTATTCTGATTAAAATTATTTTATTTTTTTCAAATATTTTTTTGGTTTGTCCTATTTTGTCAAAGTTTTTGACTAAGTGTGCTGCTTTAAAAAAATTCCACATAGAGCTAAGTTGGATCCTATACAATACTGCCTTCTGCTTTTGTTTCGTTTCTGTTTTTTTGTGAATATATTTTCTGGTCCCTCATGTTTTATACCCTTATATTGTGAATATTTACTCAGAGCTGTGTTTTTCCCTTTTTATTGCACCAAATATACCCCTCTACTTGGAATAATTATCCTTGGGATATTACCTTTGGATATTAGAAATGATTTGAGTTGTTTTGATTGAGTCTTGTGACGTGTTTATGTTATAATATAAATTTAGATTATTCCTTTGTACTTATCTTGTGATTTAATTAACTAAAGTTTTCTCTATTGCTAAAAAAACCCTAAAATATACATTCAAACTATTATAGCAGTGTCAATTTCACACCTAAACTATTTTTTGTATCAAGACCATAAAAAATTATTTGATATTATTATTAAAAAAATATATGAGAGTTTTTTTAATATGACCTAATCAATTTAATGAAATTAAAAACAACTAATAAAAAACATGGTTTGAATTAAAAGAAGATTTAAAGTGATATTTTTTTAATATTAAGACATCAATATATGAAAATAACCAACCCATCAAATTTATTGGATTAAAGAATTATTTTTTATTTAATTTTCAAATAATAACAAGGGGAAGGCTGAAATTAATGAGACCTCAAATATGGGCCGGGAAAAAACAACATGACCCAATCCAGACCTTTATTCAGATTATGCAGAGAAACCGAAAGAGAGCATTAGCTTATTGGGGTGCTAAATGGGCCGAGCTTAGTTACGGTGAGATAAGAAACAATTCTGATTTCAACTGTGTTTATCAATTAGTATGCTTTTTGCCGAGGATGGTGGGTAAAACTTGGCATTCCCACCACTTGATTTTCAAAGTTTATAAAAAAATTTATATTGCGAAAAGAAGATCGGAGTATCCTTATCATTTTTATTCTAGGCACCTATTTGTTTTTATAATGACATAATTGCTTTACTTTGTTAACTATTATAGAAATAACATAATTATAAATTTTTCTAATTTTTTTCTACTTTAATGATGAGAAATCTGTAATTTTTATTTCTTAAAAAAATTTTGCTTGGATTTTTTTCTTAATTTTTTTAATATTTGGCATATTTTTCACTTTATACTTTGTCTATTTATCACTTTTTTTTGGTCTTATCTACATTCTTTTGTAATATATTTTTTAGTTTTTTCTTTATATTTTTTTGAAAAAAATATTACTTTTACATTTACAATATTTATCACTTTACATTTCACCTATTTATTCAATTCTTTTATTTTTATTTTTATTTTTTTATAATTTTTTTATTTGCATTTGATGAAATCAAATTAATTCTAATTAACTCCTCTAGCTTATCAACCAAACTTTGAGTTAGCTTATAAACCACTAGATTTAATTAATATATGATCTTTACTCAGATTAGCCTTTAATCTCCTTAAACATAATTTGATTCAAAAACATTTTGGATATTAATCCACCACTTTTCCCAAAATAAATAGTTAAAAACTATAATTCAACTCTTTTTATTAAATAAAACTTATTCACACCAACAATAATTTTTTTATAACTAGATTGGGGCAACCAACTCACTTTTCTCTCCTCCTATATTTCCCTCTAATTCTTTCTCTTCTTACAAAGAGATTGAGATGTGAATAAAATAAATTTTTTAATAAAAATATAAAAAAATCTTAAAAAACAAAGACCAAAAATAAAAGAAACAAAATCTTTAGAAAATAAAACAATAAAAAAATAGTTCACATCACAATGAAAAAAAAACATGCAAGCTATTTATTTTAGTCTCAAATTTGGTCTCTAAAGTCTAAATTGTTTTAAATGAATTGAATAGAATTTTATTTTGTTAAATAGCAAATTAACTCAAAATAAAAAATTATTCTTCACATCGCAAAAATCCTATATCAAACCAATCAAAACAAATCATTAAATCTAATTTCAAATCAATTTAATATGAAAATATCAAATTATAACAAAAAAAAATTAAGTAATAAAAAAAAGGGTATGGATAACTATTACAATCCATAGTAAATCGTATCTTTCTCATATATTATATTTTTATTTTTTTAAATTTTTTTTATCTCATATTCATGATTTCAAAATATCATTGCATGATTTATCAAATGTCGATTTTCCAACTCAAATTATAATTGTTTTTACAAATAATAATTAAAAAAACAATGACTGAATTTAACATTAAAAAAACGACAACCCACTTTCCTAATTAAGAGAGAGTTAGGTGTTGAAATGAAACAAAGGAGAGAAAGAAAGAAGAAAATAAAAATGGATTGTGAAAGCCACATCAAAGTTCTTTCGTCAACATACGACTATTAAATCTCAATAACATCAAAAAATATTCACCCTTGAAGAAAAAAAGCCACGCTAAGACAATCTCTATAACATCAAAAAATATTCACCCTTGAAGATGGGAGGAAATCGCATGCACTGCTTTAGTGTAATGGTTTTTGTTAAAAAAAATTAATATTTTATTTTAGTTTTTAAAATTTTAATTATTTAAAATTAATAAAATTAAATATTATTTTCAAATTAAATATTATCTAGAATCCAAAATAATTTATTACTTAATAAAAAATCATTTCAATCCAATTAATTTTTTTTAAGAAGTCCAGATCTATTGAGTAATTCAAAATAATAATAATAATAATAAAATTAAAATACCATGCGGCTCTACAATTCATGGTGGATTGTGTCTCAAACTGGCTCTTCTTTTTAAGTTAATTAATCAATGTGAGCTCGTAACTAACTCGTGGCATCGGCAAGCGCGCGAGAGAAAGGAAAATGTTCGGGTGGCATTGCCAAGCTCCTAACGTCCCATTTCCGCTCTCTCTCGTGACTTTCATCAAACAACTTCCCATCATAAAAACAAAAAAACATTCCCTCTTCACACAATCACCGCAGAATCGCTAACTGCGGCCGCCGTTACCAGCACTCATAATTAGTCTTGTTTCGGTAGCTTCATTTACCGCCAGAAAGGCCAAATCCGCCTCTATGTTGATACTTCTCTTCAGTAGAACCAGATGCGTCATACACGCATAAGAGCATAAAATTCGGTACCTTCATTTACCGCCAGAAAGACCAAATCCGCATAAGAGCATAAAATTTAACTAGATTTTAGTGATTGTTTTTTTTTTTGTTTTTTATGAAGTTTTGAATTCTGAGAATGTTGCCGAAAATGAACCTGACTGCGGTTACAGATGTGAATAAAGTAATGGGGAGGCATGTTGAGGACTCACTAGCAATACTACCTCCTCTACATGACTCTTATATTTCACACTATAATGCTTTATCAAACTTGTTTATGTTGGGACCGTTGCCGGGCTTCCTGGACTGGTTTTGGCTTTGCTTGTCCTGGTGAGTCCTTTTCTTTTCGTTTTTCTTTTTTCCTTTAGTTGTTTTTAGTGGGCTTTGTTTTATGTGATGCCATTGGTATTGCACTTTAGTTGTAGTATGGAAAGTAACACTGTTTGGAGACGATGAACACGCGTTGCATTATCTTGGAACATGCAGTTTGTGTTACTGGTTTGTCAAATGTTGAGTATGAGCGGAAGAGCAGAGGTATTGTTTGTTGCTTTCTGATTTTGAATTTTGATACGTTTAACTGTCTGAATAATAACATTTTTAGTGTAACTTTAGACACATTGTAGCTGCCAAAATTTGTGTTTGACTTTATGTTTCTGGGTATTTGCTCTTTCATCACTTCTTGCTATAGGACAGAATAGAGGGAAGAAAGTTTCTTTTAGAGAGAAATTTGATGTAGCAGTAGCCAGAGCAGTGGCAGAAATGAGAATTTTAGGTAATTATAATAGCTTTCTAACTTAATGTCGTACGTGTTTTTTTTTTTTTTGACTCTTCTAAGGAAGCTTAGTGTTAAAACTGGGGGCCTTTGTTTCATTTGTTTTTCAGCGGGGTGTTGTCTTTATTTGGTTCGCGATGGTGGGTTGTTCATAGCTGCAAAAGGCTATAATCCTCAAGTGTGAATCTTTTTCAGATTTCAAGCGTCAACCCGCTGTATGTTTCACTTTAAACTATTTATTCTGTACAGTATGTTGACAAATTGATATTGTATATTTTATTGACGTTGATAAAAGTTCTTAATGGTTTACTTATAAGGAGGAAGCCCATGCATGTTCCAATTAGTTGCTTTCTAGAGTTTGAAGTTCTGAACAGGAAAAGTTTCTCCAGAAATCTATTTGCAGCTCCTGGATTGTCTCTCTGTTTGTCAGTGGTTACCTTGGAATCTGTGATTTAATATGTCACTCATCACTCACAGAAGCTAAAGATTGGGTTTTATAAATTCTCGAAGGACTCTGATTAATGATACACTACTGGTATAATAAAAGCCTTGTTTATATAGACTGAAGGAAAAAAAATTAATCAAGTTCAAAACTCAATATCATACTGGGTAGAGGTTATTACTATAATCTGATGCCCAACACCTTCAAGTACTTTTGTGCTTTTTAATGGCTCTAATCTCAGTATGAATAGCCTGGCGTATACTTTTGTTTTTCTTAATCTGTCATATACATGAGGTATCACTAATCTTCCTATATGTACCTGGTGGGGCAGGAGGAAGTAAGAAATGCAGAGAGGTCACTCCAATTGATGGGCGAATCAGTCTTGCAACTGGGCCCAGGTACTATTGCTGTATTATCTATGCAGCCCTCTCAATTTTCATTCAATGATTTAATTGATCTTTTGATATGTACATGTGACGACTTATATTTCTGCTTGATATTAAACAACGTTTATTCAAGGCATCAACTAAAACTTGTAAATTTGCTCATAAGAGCAGAGCAACTTGGCTTTTATTTTGGAGTTTGTAGAACATGCTGTGTTTATAATTTCGATGGAGAAAAAACGTCTCCAAAGTTGAGGAACTATATGTCTGAAGCGATCTGTCTGAAAACTGAAAATTAAGACAAACATTAAGCTCCCTTTCTGTGGATTCCTTAAGAGCGGTTTTCCTGTAGAATCAATCCTGATTCATGAGCTAAAAATATTCAGGACGAGTTCAAGCAGGTGAAAAGAACTGCACAGCAAGGAAGCAAGGAGAATCTCTTTGGAAGCCTGAACTCTTTGGTATCTTGGAATATTTAGAATCAACTTTTCTCACTAGGCAACACAGTTGCAAATCCATACTTCCTGCTTGCAAATTAATGAATTTTTTCTTGCTGCTCCTTTCTTATCAAATCATCTGTCATTGAGTAATCAAGGGAATTTGGTTCATGTACACAAATGTGCATATGCATATGCCTCAATAAATCTTATATTATGTGAAATAAGTTACAAATTGTCGATATCTATTATACTTTAACTATACCTAATAAATTAGAAGGAACGGTGTGACTTAAGTATCACTAACTTGTAAGAAGCAATTTGGTTTTATATTTGCATGCGGTTTTTATTTTAGCATTTCGTGCAAGAAAACGTAATAATAAAATGAAATAATTCAAATAGGGTAGCTGTGAGGATAATCCCTAATAGTAATTCAATTATGGACTCATGCGGCAGTTCTTCTCTCATTTGCATAATGGTAGAGGGACCTCATGTTTCACTATGGCATCGTCCATGCCAGTTGTCAGGGCATCATTGCTGATGACAGCAATTGATTTGAGCATTCAACTGTTCAAGATTTTTGTAAGTTTATATACTCAGGTAAATGTCATTATTTATGGGCAATAGTTGACTGCTTGCTTGTATTTATTTCATAGTTAGGTTAAAAGTCTCTTCTCTTTTTGTTTGATAATCTTGCTCTTCCATGGGGTGATGGCATATGGGAACACGATACCTATGTTTAGGGAGGTAGAAAGTTTGAGGAGATTAAAGAGAAGGACAGTGTTATATATTTTTTAAGGGATTTATTAGACGAGTCTCATATCTTCAGATCCTTCTAATATCCTCTGCCTAAAATAAAGGAGTGGCTTTTGAAACCAGGGTACCAGCGGGAAGAGTAGGCTAGAATAATGGCCATATAGGAAAAAACGACTTTTACCTAACTTACTCTTCCACTTGTAACTTCTTTAAGTAGGTCAAACCACTGATGATTCTTATAAAGGATAATTAATCTCAAGATATTTTGGATAGATATACCTTAAACACTGCATATGCCTTGGCAGATTAATTATATGTAAAGAAAGCAACTTTCCCATTTAATATTTAATCATTTTGCGTTTCTTTATTCTATTTGGGTTCTCTATTGTTTTCATCTACAATAATATAATGTCTAAAATGTTTCGTTGTCAAAATATTTTGTTTGTCTGTCATATTTATGAATCTTTTAATTCCCACTATCACCCTAGAAGAAAGGAACTTGCTTCTTATGACAAAAATTGAGAGTGATGGAACTTTTCTGTATTCATTTGCTTTGCTTATTTTTTCTGCCATCGGTTCTTTCTTCTATCGCATGCAACTGCCTTGGAAAAAACATCTTCACTTGAATTATATACAACCCTTTTCCTCTACATTATTTTTCAATTTTAGCCGGAAATTAAGGATAGGACTTCCATATTGGAGTTACTGGGATGAATATAGACTTCTTGATATTGCGGTTCTTTACTGTTGCAGAACCCCCATGCTTCAACTTCATCGAAGAAGAAATAAGGGCAGCAACCTGCAAGATTTCTTGTATCTGTAATTCACTTATGCTTCCTGGTTGTTATGACTATGAAAACTTACTTTATTGAATAGAATAAAGTAGCTCAATGTTTATTTATTATTCTGTATTTTAAAATCAGAAGTTGGATTCATTTTATAGGTAGGATCACACAATCTATGACCTTACTGTTCTCTCCCTCATCGAGCCCCACAAAACAATTATAATTCTTTGCATAAATTATAGAAAACTATTCAAAGAGTTGGTGATGGAGGAGGTTTTATTCTCAGAAAGAAGCAGGCAAGAGAGGGGTATGCAGACCATCACGTCTCCTTTCTCATGTGGGTGAAGCTTCATAAAATTTCTCTTGCAGCACCAACTCCTAACAAGTTACATAAAATTTCAAGGAACGAGTCCCTGGGACTCGTAACCACCGATGTGACAGCACACCCATATTTTGAGGAAATATTGTCACACGGTAGGAGTTGGTATCTTATGTATAGTCATGGAAGCTACCATGACTGTATAGAAGATAAGACGGCCGAATATATAGTTATATGTAACCTTAAAAGCAGAAACTTGCTATCAACATATGAGCAAATCACTCTAATGCATCATTAGTTTCAAATCGTGCACGTACAATAATAACTCAACTCAGGGAGTAGCCCAGGATAGGGGAAGGATGGAAAGCGATGATAAAAAAGAAAAAAGAAACAAAAAAGTATAGCAATCTCTCCATTTGTATCTACAAAAAGTACATTCGAGACTCCAAATTTTAAGAAATCTTCTATAGAAGAGGGACATTGATTCGCCACACTTTGATATCACAGTCCAAACTCCCACTGTAAAGAAGAAATGATGCATCGGATGAGGAACGGTCAATTGATGCCGTCAAGCACTTGACAGGGCCTCCGTGCCCTTCCAAAACTGCCAAGCTAGAGTAACTTCTATCAACACCTCTCCAAATTCTAATGGTTTTATCTGCAGAACCACTAAACACCAAATCAGAGACAACAGCTAAGCACAATATAGACTGTGTATGGCCCCTAAGGGCTCCCAAAACCACCATGTTGCCATCATCATCCTTCTCCCATACTACTATTGATCGGTCACACGCACCAGAGTATAAAACAGACCCATCAGTGCTTAGCGCCAAGGCATTAATCCCAGACATGTGTTTTTCTAGCGTGGCAACCAGGGAGTGTTTGTTCTCTTGTGAACTTTTCCTCCACACCTTGATTTTCTTGTCGGCAGATCCGGTATAAACATTCCCGTCATTCGACAATGCCAATGCATTTATGGCATCGTCATGAGCATTGGCTACCGACTCCAAACACTTGAAGTCATTCGTTCTCCATATTTTAATTGTCCGGTCCCATGAAACGGAGTAGAGGTGGGACTCGTCACTCGACAAGGCAAGTGCAGATACGGTGTCAACATGATGAACCCATGTGCATGTCTTGTGCCTTCGAATCTGAACTTGATTCCTTGGCAACAGGCTCTTAAAGGCACGGTCACCAAACGTTGGTAAAGTGGCCAAACGTGTGTACTTCTGCTGATTAGTCTCCTGGTTATTGGTTTTCCATACTCGGATTTTGTTATCTTGATGAGCACTAAAGAGTTTTTCCGCCAAAACTACCAGGGACTTCACTGCACCGTTCCCCACAGCCACTACGTTGTTGCTTAGGTTTTCCTGATCTATTTCAGAATCTAAAGGGTTTCGCTTCCACAGTCGTATTTCTTTGTCAGAGCCGCTGTAAAGGAATTTTCCTGCGAGGGTTAGTGAGGATATATAAGAGGAGTGGCCTTTCAGAGTGGTGAGACAGTGGTGGTGGGTGGTGGGTGGGATTTCTTGGTGGCGATGATGGGGTTTTGAGGTGAGGGCAGGTCCTGATGGGAGGCTCGGCTGCGAACAAAGTGTAGGCAGGTTTGCTTGAAGGTGGTCAGAGTGTGACTGAGAATCATAATCTGAGTAACTACATGACATGATTACCATGTTTGAGAGGGGGAGAAACACTGGGAGGAAGAAAGTGAAGTGAGTTAAATATAAATAGGAAAACAATCATTTAATCAGGGTTAGTAAGTGATTAGAGAGACGAGAGTCACGAGATAATTAAATTAAGAGAAAATGTATGTTCGGCAAACAGGCAAAGGGGCCCAGTTGGACTTTATACATATTGAGTTTAAAAAAAGAAAAAGGTTGAGGTCTGTATCAATGATAATTTGATAGAGACCTGTTTGTTTTATGTACGAAGAAAATGTACCATGAAAGGACACCACCTCCTCCCTCCCTCGCAGCCCTAATGTTTAGAACAACGAGACTGATTGGTTCGCAGAGGGTGAATTTGTCGATCTCACGATGATTTGTCTACTGTTGCTGTTGTGATTGATATTGAGAATCCTCTATTTTGACAAACATGTTTAATTCAATTTCACGAATAAACTTAATTAATTTCGTAGTTTTTCTCAGTAGTGGACGACAATTCCATGTTGTTTTATTGTTGATATATTGTTTAATTTTTTCTTTAAATTATCATCAAGCTTTGTTTTTGCTAATTACATCATTTTTAAGCTATTAACCAAGTAAAAACATTGAATAATAACAAGGGAACAAATAATAAAAATAGCCAAGTTTATATAAAAAAATTAATTTATTTCTTATACTTTAAAAATTATATATGTTCAATTTTTTGATATTTTTTAATTCAATTTTGTTTAAATTTGCCGTGTTATCTCGAGGCTTTTACATCATCTTATTTTATTTTATATTTATATTAAATTTGATCTTTATTCTTTTAATTTATTTTACTTTGAATTTTTTTATTTAATTTTATCATTAAATATTTAATTGTTGAGAATTAAGCTTCGTATTATTTTTTTGTGGTGATTCTAGTCTTATTACCTAAGTTAATAGTATGAAATGTTAACGTGGATTGACACTAATATTTTTTTAATCTTTTTTAGTTCATTTTTCAAGATTGAGTTTTTGAAAATTGGGTTTTTATTTTTATTTTTTATTTTCTTTTTACGAGGTTGACTCAATCGAGTTTGTCATGCTAACTCAGATTGACTTGAGATTTTTTTTTAATTTTTTTAATTTTATCATTTAATATTATGTTATATTGAAATTCAACTTGTATTTTTTTTATTTTTTTTACAATGATTTTTCATGTCATTGTTATCATTTTTTATTTTTAGAATCAATATATTTACTATCATTACTTTTTTATTATATAATTAAATAAAATTATCTTATTAGACTCAATAGGGTATAGGTGGCTGTTTGGTGTTACGACTATGATTGAAAATAAACGCAGGACTGAGGTGTTTGGTGAACTCGAATCACACTTTTATTTCACGAGAGTCTCACTCAAAAATTGAGGTTGGACCTCAGTTTGTGAAAAGCAATTTACAATTGCTTTTCACTCCGTGCTCTCCTATCCTCTCTCATTAACACTGCTAATTAATTGACATAAAACTTTCCTAACTCGAGCTGTTAGCTTTGTTCCTTTGATCTGGATGAAAATTGACACCAAAGACAATGTTCATCCTTGTTCCCCTTTGTCCGTTCTTCTATAAAATGAAGATTTAACACAAAACTTTCCCAACCCGACCTGTTAGCTCTGTTTCCTTCCCCTATATTCCCTTGATCTAGATGAAGATTCACGCTGAAGACAATGTTCATCATTGTTCCTCTCTGTCCCTTCTTCTGTCAATAAAGATTTAACACAAAACTCTCATAACCCGAGCTCATCTCCTCTGTTCCCTTCCCCTATGTACCCTTGATCTGGATGAAGATTAACACCGGAGATAGTGTTCATCCTTGTTCCCCTCGTCCATTCTTCTATCAAACGAAGATCAGATTACCTTCACCAAAATAATTTGTGCCGAGTAGTCTTTATTATTTTGATTTGTAAAAAAATGAAGCATATCTATACTGGCTGCGAAAAGTCACATGAGAGAGAAAGATCCATAAGTACCTGTCTTATCTCCATCTTTAATTATTTAATTATTTATCTTTAAATTTTTAATTTATGTGCTGCTTCAATTGTTTCCTATGTGTAAGTATATATGTTGTTTTGCGTTAAATATATTTTTATAACAATAAGTCATGCTCTTTACGTTCTTCATTTAATTCTTTGTGTTTTTGTTTTGTTTTTGTTTTGTTTTTGTTTTGACTGGTTCACGAGCTTAAAAAATAATAACTTATCTATGAAATCCTGATTTTTTAATGGAAATTGTCTTTTGAAGAAATTATTTAGTTGCCATTTTGGGTTTTTAATACTGATTTGGAGATTTTTGTATCTAATTTATAGATCATTTTTTTTTGTTTAACTCTTGTGGGGCTTTTTATGTTGTTAACCTGCCGTTCAAACTTGCTATGTTTTCCTTAGACTTTGTTGATCAGTTTTCTTAGTAGTGTTAGTGGATTTCAAGATTTCAAGAAGCTGACTTTTTGTGTGTAGTTTTATTTAGTGGTGATCTTGATTTCTTGAGAGAATTGTGCTTTAGGTTTTTGGTACTCAAATCGTGCTCATGCAATTGTAGAGAAAATACCTTACAATAAGAACTTGACTTGGGACTTTTTGATTTCTAGTATATGTTTGCCTTTTTCTGTTTGACATGGAATTCGAGTTCACCATAATAATATGTGTTTGAATCCATGGTTATTGATATTATTTATTTGTCCCTTCAAGTAATGGATGTTATTGATTGTTTTTATGTTGATAAATATTTTAAAAGATACCATGAAAGGTCTTGAATCTTTGGATAAGGCTACTTGGACAAAGAAAATATTGCATATAGTTTGTTATTTATGCATTAAGGCTATTGATATGGAAATGAGACCTAATACTCATTTTAATGAAACGGGGTGGAAATTTGTTATAACATTATTCAAAGAACAAATTGGTCATGTATTCACGAAAACACAACTAAAAAACAAATAGGATGGATGCAAAAAGGATTGGACAATATGGACAAAGCTGGTTTCTGAAATTGATATTGGTTGGAGTAGTGAATTGGGAACAATTGCAGCTAGCGATGAGTGATGGAAAGTAAAAATTTAGGTTAATTCCTCATCATCCTAACAAATTTCATTTTTTATTGTCAAATT